TTCACCTCACTGTCTAACTCCAGGCATGACAGTTGTTCTCATTTATTCAGGGAGTTTTCCTCTTTAATGATGGTAAGAGTAGTAATGAGTTACAGGTGAAAATAAACACACGATTAGCACAGTCAGACTCAGGGTGTGTTGGTGCTGACTACTCCTTAATCAGTTGCAATTAACACTGGATGAGTGTTCACTCTAAATTCCCTCAGTACTCATGTATTTGACCACAATAACAAATTTATGTCTATATGGGTGCTGAGGGGTTTTTTGCTACCCAAACTATCACTGAGCTTTATAGAACATTTTGTGTCTTGCACAGATATCTCAAGTAATAAAGCATGAAATAAAATGTAATAGCTTCAGTACAGGCAGAAAGCAGGTATTTAAAAATAAATGCATTTGGTGTGTAAACATCTTGACAGTTAAATGCCTAAAGCCTGTGGCAGAAATTAGGCCTGAAAACTACAAGTTACATAGGATAGAATGGTGGCTAATTGCAGATATTTGGACTGAATTCCTGCTTTGTCACCAAATGTTGTATGAATTTGGTGAATTTGTCTTTGTGTCTGTTTCTTTTCTGTTAGAAAAAGAAAAAAAAAATAATAGGGGAATTGTGCACTATCCTGTTTCACATAAAAAGAGATGTATGCTAAACACAGAAGCAAGTTGAGACCCTGTGGACACGGTAGCACTGAAGGTGGGTAGTACAAGATGAAAAGGTGGATTGAAGATACAGACATGGCATTCAGATTTCCCTCTACCCCAGTTTAATTGTTGTGGTTTATTTGCAATTTTCCTATTTGAGCTAATTGCTTTAAAAGCCTGTAGGTGTGTTTGTAAAGTGAGAATTCATAAAGAAGATTAAAAATAAGGTAGAAGTTCTTGGTTTCCTTCAGAACAATGAGCAAGTTTTCAGCACATTTGCCTTCTTTCCTGTCTTCATGCTGAGGAGCAATTATAGCTCACTTGTTCTAAGGGGATTCTCAAGTGTCTGGGTGGCACTTTGGGACTGTGAAATCCAGGTGTTAAAAGTTGTATCTACAAAAAAAGTATGAGGGTGTTTGGTGCTGGGGACCTCACGTTCACACTGTGTGTTTTGGGATAGACTTTGTTCAAAACTCCCTCTAGCCTGGCCATATTGATCTGAATGTCCATGAACAGTGTGATAAATCTGGATAAAGAATTAAAAATTGAATTGGGAATAATCATGAACTACCTCTTCCAGTTCAGTCTTATGTGAAAGAAAGTTTGTGTGCACTAAGATCAGTGTGTTGGGAACTAAAGCACAGCAAATAGGGGCATCAGGAGTTTTGCTTCCTAAACACACTCTTGTCCTGAAATGCTGATGTGGATACTGCCACATAACTAGTTAGGCTGGAAAGAAGTGATAATACACTGACAGTTAAGGTACTCCTCTCAAAGTTATTATTTTTTCAATATAAACATTGAAAGCATTATATTTAAATATACTGAAGGACAAAGAAGGACAAAGGAATATCAGACCACTCTGTGCTGGACACTACAATGGTATTTAGAGAGGGCCTGCCCCAATGGCTTTTCAGTTTGAGAGCATGAAGGGGCTGGTTCAGTGGAAGGAAGTAAGGTTTTACAATTCCTAGCCTTGAACATTACCTTCCCAGCAGCTTTGGTACTTTTAGTTCAGATCAGTGTTGATGGATTTAAATGAAACATGAACATGAAATTTCAGCAGCAGAGCTCTACCTTCGGGTCTCCTAGCTTCTAGTCTTGTGAACTATCTACAACACCACAGTAAACGAATTTACTTGTTCTATATCTACTTGTATTTACTTGTTCTATATTTACTTGATCTATATTTGGTTTTTTTAGTCCTTGGCTTTTTATTTTATACCTGTAAATAAATACATAAAAATGGTATGCATCAATTCTTTTAATATTTGTCATATCATTAGCAAGTAATGGATATCTGAATCTTGTCGCTGTGTCTATAAATGCCTACATTACTGTCTGCATGCACTACAACATTAGAAAAAAGGTTTCAGCAAGGCAAATACAGTAATTCAGAGGGGATGTAGCAAAGAAACACTACCCCTAAGAACTGCCAAGTATAATGCTGTTTATGCTGCATGGGAGCCCCAGGGGTCAGAAGCCAACGCCTTTTTGTACATAGCATTCACAGAGGCCATCAGCAACTGCCATGGTTCAGGTGGAAATTGCAAATATTGTCATCTGAAGAAGCGGCTGTAAGATTTTGTTGAGCTTCCAGTGTAAAAATTCTGCTTGATAATTTAGAAAGGGACCTTTTCTCCATTCTGCCAAGATGGCCTGTATCCATAAAACACAAAGGAGAGCCTGGAAGTTCACTTCAGCAGAAAATCAGACCTTGTGTCCTCCAGACACAGCTGCTTAAAAAGGACTGGGGGAAAGGGAATGACCACAGTGTACCTGGAGTAGGAAGGGGTCATTATAAATGGTGATAATTACATGGCAGATTTTTAAATACATTTTTCTTCTATGTGCACACTGAAGACTTGAAACCTAAATAGTCCAGCTTTCATTCCTCAGAAACTGCCGCTATGCTAGTTGGGTTATTGGATATTTTGGCTCTTCACTAGTACCCAATGTTTCTTGTCAGGTGGTAGCAAACAACTAAAATATCCATTGTTGCTTTTGGGTGAGGATTGATAGACACAGTCCTCCAGAACCACTGTGGTACAGGGCTGTAGTTCTGGCTCTACATACAGTACCAGGTTTTCCATCTACTTGTTTTATTATTCCAAATTTATTTGTAACCAAATGCACAAGCAGATTCATTACATTAGCTAATTATCTCTCTCTTTCAATTCAACAGTGTAATGAAAACAGCAGAAACTGTTTTACCTTCCACAGCAAAACAAAAATCAAATATAGATCTATTTTTCAAATTAGTTAAATGTTCAATATTAATAGGCCCTTTGATACCTCTTCATGAAAGGCATTTGGGCCGTGCAGCCTGGAGTGCATTCTGTGGCCCTCTATAATTTCTGGAAGTGTACATTAGTGGAAAATAATAGCAAAAGGCTGCCAGAAGACCTTTTGTTTGTACATATTGTCTTGTTTCTCTTAAGAAGGGTTTCCACACACTTATTTTTTGAATGCATGCTTTGTCTTTATAATAGGAATGCATTCTTGTTTTGTTTGGTTTAAGAAATTAAATAGAATAAATTGCTTCTGCTTACATGTTTTCTTGACTTGAAAAGCGCTTCAGGACTAACTGCAAACTGTCAGAAAAACACTGCAGTTAAAATGAGGGTGGAAAACAGGGTGTTTGGGCTTCATGTAATTTGCATGATTGACTTTTTAGTTTACCTGTTCTTTGTTGTCCCTTTAAACATTCCATGCTGATGCCTTCAGTGTGTGCACCCAGCTTTGTCCTTGGAATCACAGAATATGCAGAGTTGGAAGGGACCCATCAGGATCATTGAGTCCAACTCCTGGCCCTGTGCAGGAGCTCTGGGACTACAGGAAATCAAGATATTACTTTTAACATATGTCTTAGGGGACATTTATGGTCTGCTGTGTGTGTCTACCCCACAACCAGAAATCACCTCAGTTCCCCCTCCTGGTTTTGGGTCACAGCTGCCTACAGGACTGCCAAGTCCAAGGGTTAAAGTATCCTTCAGTGGGATTCTGTATCTCTCTGATGGCTTAAAATAGTTTATACTTTTAGTTTATGGTCTTTTTCTCTCTACTTGGATTATAGTCTGTGGGCATGACTGGGTTTTCAAGCTTTTTCTGGAAAACTTGACCCCATTCTAAAGTGGAGGGTGAAATTTTTGTTTTTCACAGTCATGGCTGTAGAAGAATGTCAGCCATTCAGAAACTGTGATAAAATTGAATGGTTTACTGATACTCAGAAGCCTAGGCAGGGTTTCTTGTAAGCAAATTTTTATTTAGGGTTGAGATATTATGGGAATATGCAACAGCAAATGGCATAAAAAGTCCCATGGTGTAACTGCATGGGTTTCTTCCCTCTCATGCTCAGTCGTTCATGTTCATCATGGCATTCCCAGGCAATGGGTGTGTCAGAATAACCACACCATGTAAAACCACAGATCCAGATCCCTCTAAGTCACTACAAATTATCTGTCAATTCATAATGCTGAGAGACCAGATATGAGAAGTTAGATCATATAGTGGATCCTGTCCTGTTGACTGTGTGTCAATCAGCAGCTGAGGGATTTCCTCAGACATGGAAGACATCCTAGAATTATGAAATACAGATTATGTTCCTGTAGCACCCAGAAATCCTGGGCTGTGAATCAGAAAGCTATTGTGTTCAGCTCTCTGTAATTGTGAAACAGAGAGCCTGTCCTGGTTGCAATTTCGAATCTGTTGGGCTCACCATAAAATATCATTTGTGTAGTCTGATAGAAGGAGATACGGAGCTAGATTGTGATTTTGCAAGCCATGACCTGTACATTGAACTGTGTTTAAGGGATTAGCCCTGCAGCTCTCACAGGTGCTCGTGGGCAGCTGCAGTCAGAGGGATGTCCCTGCGTTCATCCGGTGCTCGGAGCCTGCAGGAGGGCCCTAAGGACACGGGCACTGTGTCATCTCAGCTGTGCTCACTCTAAATCTATACCCCTTACTCAGTGTGAGCACACTTTTGTAGCAGGGGAAACAATGTGAAAACTTTTGGGAATACTTTAAAAAAGCAGAGAAGGATAAGGCATTCTCCAGTATATTTCTGTACAAGGGCTGGGGTTTAAATTTCGATATGCACTTAAATTATTTATGAAAATGTATAAAAGCAATTTCAGAAATATGTCTATTTCAACTACTATAAAAATAATATGTGAGACAACAAAGAAATAATTGTTCCCATATTCCTATCAGGATGCATTAAAAATAAGTAAATAAAAATTGTTGTCTTTCCATAATAGAAATGCTTTCTTCTATGGATCATTCTTTGCACTTGAACTGTATTGATTAAACTAGAGCTTTCCTTTTTTTCTTCATTTTTTTTTTTACCTCCCCTTCAGGAGAAAGACAACTTTTCTCTTATGAGACCTCTCTTGCCACTTGCTTCCTGATTTATTATTTCTTGGATGCTACTTTCACCGCAGGAAAAAGGTAGGAAACATTTCTTTAAGCAGCAGGTTGCCATTGTAAAATGTTGCAAAAATAAACTAGAAACTTGATGTGATTTTTAAATTATTAGTCCCACAGATAAACAGCTAAAAACGTTGACCTTTTTACTTTCTCCATTTTTTAATTTTAATTTTTCTTTAAATTTTCCCTTTAAATGGCAGGAAGGTACCTTTTAAAATCTTACCCTGTGAAAGAAAATATTTTTGTTGCAAAGACACTATACTATATAAGACTTATTTTTATATTGAAAAAAAATACATAGTCAAATAAGATAATTCTTGGTATTACCTTGCAATCATTTAAATAGAAGTTATGTTATTCTTACAATACTTACTGTCTGTAGCAGCAATGTTGAGAATTATTAAAATGCATCAATATCTGTAAAAAATCGCCTGTGTGACTTTCAGTGAAGGAGGCCTTTTGTACAGGATGAGGAGCTTTTGCACTGGATGTGATTATTCAAACTACCATGACCATAACGCTGTGCAGATGACAGCGACCTTTTAGCCATGACAACATCAGTAGCAGTCCTTCTTTTTTAGCTTCAAATCTTCTGTTGTTGTTCGGCTTACAGAATAAAATGTGCAGAATCAGTCTACAAAAAATTCTGCGGGGTTTTTATCAAAATGCATTTTGAGTGTTCATGATCATTGTCTGTTTGCACTCTAAGAATGGAGAATATTGTACCAAAAACATGTAGGCCTGCGCTTTGCAATGAGTTTCTTCTTTCAAATCTAAAAACAACTCCCTTTCATGGAGGTGTTTGAATTTCTACAAAAGGTTCATAATTCTGTGATTCATTTAATTGTCTCCCATTTCCTTTATCTTTTTTTGTCATAAGGGTAGAGGCTTTGCAAATAAAGTTAAAATCAGTACAGGGAGTCAAAACCAGCTTGTCCCTGGAAAATACTTATTTTACTTAAAAAAAATACTTTTGATCATTTAAATAATAACTGCTTTTTTGTAAAACCTTGCAAAGACTTACTTAAGCATGTGAGTGCTTATTTTCATTGACACGTTAAGCCCAGGGGAGTCCTTGCAACAACTGCTACGCAGAGACTGGGACAGGCTAACAGGAGAGAGGTTATATGATTTAAGGTTAAGGTGTGGATGCTGGGGCTTGATATCAGAGATGGTTTTGTCTGTCATGTTGTCAGTTGTGTCTGTGCAGCCCTTGTGTGGTTTAGCAGTGATGAAAGTCTGTGGAATGAATAGGAAACAGCTGAGATTTGATTTATATATTGGGACTTCTGAACATTTATCCCTTGCTCACTTTTATAATTTGAGTTCAGAGCTGAACAGAATGACATAATAGGGGAAATTCAGATATTTTTTAAAGGCAAAAAAAAAAAAATAGGAAAAACAGCAATAAAGCAGGAGGGGAGAAAATACCTCTACAAATGCAACAGACATAAAAGTAAGTGAAGGAAAGTTAAAAATTACCATAGGGCAGGCAGGACACCTGCTAAAGAACCTTCTGCTGCCTCTCACAGCTGGAAAGAAAAACGAAAGAGATGCAAACAACTGTTCTGGAAGCATGAAATCTGCCTTTTGTCTTTTCACCCCTCCCTTTCTGAACAGTTACAGTATGCAAAATTTAGGGGAATCTCAAAGTCTGCAGAGGAAAAAAATTCAGCAGGCTCTGCATATAAAAAGCTGAGCCATGGAAGTGTGCCTCTTTGAAAACAGGAGCATGTTTGGGAGCTTCCCGGTGCATTGAAGAAAGTGGTAATTAATGCATAGTGAATGACTTCGAATGGAGGTTGAATAGGGGCATAACAATGGGAAGTTTTTTTTAGGTTAAAGTGTTGGAAAAAGGAAAGCTGTTAAAAGATAGCTACTGTGAAGCTACAACTTCAATCCTTGTCTTCTCTGACTTTCCTTTATAGACTGTGGTGGGTTTTGTTTTGTATGGGTCTCCAAATACAATGAAGTTAATTTGCACCAATTTCATTTTGTGTATGCTTTGGGAATTTTTTTTTAAGTTTTTTTTTCCCCCCTCTTTTTGGCAGGGCTTGGTTCTTTGATGGTGCTTTTGAGCAAATGGTTTGCCCAAAGTTCAGATGATGTTAGCTCCATCCTCTTTTTCATTTACAACATCAAGGGGATTACAGAGAATAACTTTGTTGCCCAACATCAAGGCTATATCTTCAGGCTACTAGAAAGGTAGTTCTCAGAAAGTGTGTCTTCTAATATTTTAGAACCTCCACAGGCTTCAGATAAAACAAGTATTAAATACAAAAAGCTCACAAGGATCCCAAGGAAGGTTAAACTCACACAACCTCCTTCATGTTGAACACCTGAAATGTATTTTTTAGACTGTTGGAGTGTTATCATAGTGAAGACAGCAGTGAAGTCTTATATAACTGAAGACAGAAAGAATAAAAACCAGCACCTTGTTTAAAGACAGGCAATTTTTAATGGAGCCTAGGCTAAATATAATCTACTTTTGCTATCGAAAAGGGAATTTGGAGAGTGAGCAAGTCATTTTGGAGGGGTCTTGGAGGTTGATTTTTTTATGGGATCATAAGGTAGTAGATCTGCAATTCTGCTGTGCTTGATCCAAAGCCAGAATCTATAAAGCTTGAGGACAGAAGGAATGAAATGTTTTGGAGAAATAAAATAGGGAAGCTAGTGGGCTCAAAATAGTTTCAAATATTTTCTCTTGTTGGTAGTTCTTAACAGGACTTCTGGCCTGGGGTATTTTGAACTCAGCATCTCAATTCCTATCACATAAGTGTTTATTTTTTCCTAAGGAATATACGAAACTAAAAATACCCTATAAAACTCCCCAAATAAGTTTTGTTTTATAATTCTCTAGGGGCAGGCTGAGAAAATTTAGTATTTGCTGCATACAGCCTAGTAAAGCCCTTTCTCTCCCATCAGTTCATTTTTGACAGGAAGGTGGCTCACACTGGTTAGAATACAAGAGGATGCAAATTTGATTGAAAAGTTATCTCCTTTTGCTGCTTCCACAGAGATGTTGTCTGTCCTGGTCAGGTGCATGTCCTTTCCCACTACTTAACTCCAGCAGGTGTCTTATTACCCTCCACTCCTTAATGATTGTAAATGGTGTGTGAATTCTCAGGTTCTGGAACAGTGCTCTAAAATGACTATTGTCATTAATTACAGTGGTAATAATGATGTTGTTTTAGCTGCATTTTTATTCTCTTTTCCTTGTACACACATGTAAACCAGAGTTTCTGACACTGAAGAAATTCTTTATCACTCTTCTACTTTTGCTAAATTGAAAAGGCTAATATTGTGTTAATTTTCTGGAGGCAACTGGATGAATCTTCTGAACTGAATGAAAGTCAATGTCTGCATTTCAACATATCTTTTACCTTGTTAAAACATATACATATATGATATCAATAACTTTATTGGGCAGGAAAAAAAAGAAATCCTCAACTTAAATCTGTCCTTTTATTTTTGCAACAGATTTTTCAGATTCACCAGGGATAAGGTTGCCAAGCCTAACTCTAGTCTCTTACTTGACCTGTGAGATTCTGTTTAATTTAGGCCAAGTTCCTGACTTTTGTAAATCCCTATTTGCCTTTTCTGTCTCTCACTCTCTTGGGAAGCCCTTATCAGCTTGACACAGCAACACATAAATGCAAGTGGTCCAAAAAAGTCAGGACCATCAGGCCCAGAGCAGGGCAAGGTGTACAGGGGTCTGTGCAAGCTGCAGGGAAGGCTGGAACTTGACTCACCTTTCCCATCACATCTGACACTTGGCACATTGTCCAGCTGAGAGAACGGTAGCACTACGTGGGATGAAAAATGGGTTGGACTCCTCATCTCTCCTGTTCCTTTTTGGTAGATAGTTCAGTAAATTGGGAGTAAAACAAAGCAGACTTACTGGTGGAGCAGCAGAGGTTGATGCTCTGTATTAATGTGGTGAAGGGATGGTTGTGCATGGATTGTCCCTCCCAGTGTCACTACAGCTTTGAGTCCTGTAATCAGCTGTGAGATTTAAGCAAAGTTGAAAGATTTGGGTATGCTATACACAAAATATGGGCTTTTTGGTAATTTTACATGTCTTTGATTTACAAAGCTGTGAGCTGATGTCATCCAAAGTAAGATAATAAGATGAAGTTATCTAGGTCAAGTCCAAGAGTCAGAAGATGAGGGGTACAGGATACTTGGCTGCTGAGCACTTTTTAGTTGCTCCCCTTGTGAATCTAAACCAGATTTTAGTGATGTGATTCTGTACTAAATATGTTGCTCCTCTCCCTCATTGAGTGCTCGTGATGGATGTAAGAGCAACACAGTCATGAACATGCACCTGCAAACCTGGCACTTTCTGAGTTGAAAAGTCAATAAAGTTATCCTGCTTTGCTAGGCTTGTGTGTGTATGCTACACATCTTCTATAGGGGAAAGAAAATCTGTGTCAGAAATGTCAGGAAAAGATGTAATGTAAGAACTCCCTCTGCTGTAAAAACTCCCAGCATATAAAATGTGCTGTAGCACTAACCATTGTGACCCAGAAATAAAATGTTTCCTGTGAATTAGAAGGAAACAGAATTGAATTAACTGGATGACATTTCCCCATCTGTTTTTTATTTAATGTTGCCCTTTTCCATTCTCTGTAATTAGTGCATAGAAGTGACAATAGTCATATACCACACTCTTAGCTACAAGGATGTACCAACATTTTGAGCATTTTCCATTATTTTTTTCAGTGACACTTTGAAAACTTGTAGCATCCTAACTCTGCTGAACCCTATTATTTCTGTGAACTGAAGAGGCAATTTAAGGCACCTTTTTTGTTTGCAAACAATTTTCAAATATAACCTCACACTTTCTGAACTTTTCCCAAGGGCCTCATAAAATCAATAATTGTCCATTTTCCTCTAAGTGACTTTAAAATTGAAGGTCTCAGGATTTTAAATTCAGATCTGGATTTCAGGGTGCTCTCCATCAACACTGCTGCTCACAGGTGCTCCCAAGCAGAATCTGTTTTCTTGCAGTGAGAGGA